GGTGGTATAAAGAGCGAAGGCCGCGGTACGCGGACTTGGGGCTTGAGGCAGCTCTGTCCAGCCCTCCTGAACTGGCCTTGCCGCGGGCTACGTTACATCACCTGCTGGCGGCACGATCGGGTCACGGGGACTTCGAGCAATATCACCGACGTTTCAACCACGACGACGCTCTAATGATGTGCTCTTGTGGAGAGGCGAAAGACGTGGACCACCTGGTCTACTGTCGACTAACGCTGGCGAGGAGGCAACGGTGGCCGACCCTCCACTCTCGCAGTATGCCCGAGCCCATAGGTCCTATGGGATCTCTCGAGGCCTACTTCAAGAGATTAATCACCGACCCACGAGGCTTCGAGGCCTTTCTCCGCGTGACGGACTTCTTCCAGAAGATCTGTCTGCGGTAGCAGCATCCACACCTAGGTAGATGTGAGTGCGGACTACAAAGAACCTCCCGATTCCAAGGGACGATTTGGGAAAGAATGAAACTGGGGCACCAGCGGGAACCGGGGACAGACAGAACGCGTAGTGGCCACAAGGCATGATTTGGAGGACGATGTAAAGAGACGACGTACTGTAGAGTAGGTAGCCTTGGCTCACGGCCCTCCACGCCATATACCCTTCGGGAGGTCTGCGGTAAGGGCTCTAGCCCGGCCGCCACGGCGTTAAATACAACAACAACAACAACAACACTTCATTCAGTCTCTTCAACAACAATCATCACAATCTTTCAGCTTCAAGCTTTCCAATCTTTACAACTTTCTCTCTCTACCAACTCAACAAGTTTCTCAACTCACCAACTTTTCAAACTCTCTCAAAATGTTCTCCAAGACCATCATCGCTGTTCTCTTCGCCTCCGTCGCTGTCTTCGCGGCCCCGGTTGAGACTTCCAACAAGGAGGTTGAGGGACGACAGATCAACCAGAGCGTCACTCTTTGCAGTGACAAGGGCATGGCTGACTGCGACACTGTCAACTTCAACTTTGGCTTCTGCGGTCAGTTTCCGGTTGCTCATTTCAATCTTGGTTCTCGGCTGATAGTTTCTAGTCTCCCCCATCGGAAGACTGAACGACAAGGTCAGCTCTCTCAATGCCAACGGCTACAACTGCATCTTCTACAAGTACGTTTAAAGATTTACACACCTCCAAACATCTCAGATTTCTAATCGACTTGCCACAGTGATACTGGATGCCGCAACGGTGGCGGTCAGATCGCCACTACTGGTGAGGTCACCGACATCCGCAGCCACCCCTCGTTCAGCACCATGAACGACGATGTCTCTTCCTTCTTGTGCAACATCTAAGGCCTTCATTTGCTGCTAAGTCTGGTCTTTCAGTCTGTGCAACATGGTTCGGTCTCCAGCACAACTTGTCGCTTGCTAGCATCGTAGCAATCTGCTCTCACCTGGAACGATGGTGAGAATGCATGGGATGGACTATGGTTTCTGAGTTTCAGTGCGATTTTTATAGGTGTCTCTTGTCTCTTGATAGCTCTTTAGCAATCGATATGCCACTCTGCGTCATTATGCACCTTAAGTGAATCAACGCATGCGCTTGACGTAGTGCATCTGTTAAGCCATTAGCCATACCTTTAGTAGCACAGGCAACCGAAAGTGATTTGATAATCTAGGAGGTCTCCTTCCCGGTTCAGTGAGGCTGGGAAGGAAAAGTTCAAGGTTCAACACCCTCAGGCAACCATTGCAAAAGAGATCTTGATTCTTGGCATAGCATAAATGCACGAGCATCGGGGCTCGTACCGTGACCAATTTGAGGATGTAGCGCCCGGGATTGTGGCTATTTTACGTCAAAGCTCGACTCTACAAAACAAAGGTTGGAACAATGCGAAGTGTTACGACGTAATCGTCCGTCACTCTCGTTCCTAATACCGAGCATATCTCATGAGGGTCTGATGTCTCGGAGAAAAGATGATAACTCTCCGCAAAAGTGGCTTCAGGTCGTAGCCAGACGGGACTGTGAGTAAGAATGACATCTTCTAGTCGATAGCCAGGCCTGTACAGATTGTGGCTTTGTGACTTAGTCATGCTCGTGGAGTTGTAAAGACATTAAAAAAGGCAGAACTCGAAGAATTTCTGCCATCCTCTCGCGCACAGGCCATCGGCAAAGGGACTTGCTCCATGAGGGGGTCACGGAAACGCAGCGGTGGGAAGACATATGCCACACAAACCACCAAGGAACTAAACAGCATACTGAAAGTACTGGTACACGACCTACGCTTTCTATGTACTAGCTCCTATGCAGCTGCAGTGAGATCTGATAAAAGGCAACAGCTTGAACTCAAGATCAAAAGATAAACCCGTTTACGGAGTAGTTGGTGAGCCGTTGCTGCTTACTAAGCCCGAAACCGGCTTCGGAAATCGGAACACCAAAAACGCGAGGATGACCCCTTCCCAGTCTGACACCGCGTCCTTCAAGCAGCCGCACCGATCTCTCGCCGAGTTGCTCATGTTAATGTACCATATGGGAATGGCAAGCATGAGGAACAATTATTCCATAACGGTACTTGTCGAAGAAGACGCGTCGTCCGTGGTCCGCCAAGTGCACCTAAAGCTATCCAACCTCGACCTCAACCGTGCTGAAGACGCAATGTCGAAGGCTTCAATCCCTCACGGTGAGTTTTCGAGATCATCAGATGCCAATTGAGGGTCAGACGCCCACATACGGCTGAAAACCACGCCATCCTTGCCCCCATGTGGCAAAGCCCACCCGAAAGCCGAGACTTTCAAGTAGCTTGATGGAACTTCCCCCGGATGGAATCACAAGTCGTCGTCTGCATCCGGCCAAAACTGCCACCAACGGCTTTCTCACTGGCCAACGAAGCTGGCGGTATGGAGAATCTCGAATGCACGAACTTCTCACTGTGAGAATTTTCTTTCTCGCTTCAGGCTCCACTTCGCAACAACCCCGCTGTGGATTGAAAGCCGAGCGCTGACAGGTTGCTGGGTTCGACGGGATGGTTCGGACTAGCATATCCCTGACTCGTAAAGGGGTTTTCTAGCCTGTTTAATCTTATCAGATGCATCTCCGAGAGCCATCATGGAGCTTGGCGCACTAGTCTAGAGCAAAGAAAACCTTGAATGTGAGAGAAAAAGTCCTTCAATGGAATTCTCCATCGTCCGAGTTGCTTTCTTTCAAGCCAAGTCTTACGTTTTTCGCCGTGCCGTCTCGATCCGACCTCGGGTTTGCGAACCAACAGAGTTCGGTGACCGTCCGACAAAGGTTGGATAAATAGCAAGACGAGCGCTGCTTCGGTGGTTGCATTCACCTCGCTCCCTTGTCCATCTCATCCATTATTCGTGCATTAGACTGCTACCGAGAGACCGGTACTATCAAACAACAATGGCGGCCCGCGGAGATCTCGAGTCCCACCGGGAGAAACACCCCGAAGACCTCGTCAACGAGGTTCCCGAGTCATCATCCTCGGACTCGGAGGACGACCTCAAGCCTCATCCCCCGATGTACTGGAAGATCATTGCTGTCATTCTGATTTCCTGCATCAGCTTCGGATCTTCCTGGAGTTCGGGCATCACCGGCGCCCTGAAGTCGACGCTCAAGAAGGAGCTTGATATCAACAACAAGCAATTCTCGCTGCTAGAGGCCAGTGAAGATTTCATGGTTACCCTGCTCATTCTCACGAGCGGTATCGTGACCGACAGAATCGGTGGCGCCGGTGCCATGTTGTATGGTGAGTTTTGCACTTACAGTCTCTTCTAAGACAGTGAAACTGACGCAGCGAAAGGTAACATCATCTACTCCATCGGTTCTATCATCGTCGCCGCCGCAGCTCAGACCCGCGACTTCAAGCTCATGATCGGCGGCCGAGTCATTCTTGCCCTCGGTGACATTGCAACCCAGGTTGCCCAGTACAAGGTTTTCAGCTCCTGGTTCTCGCCCAACAATGGTTTCGCGTCCACTCTCGGCCTGGAACTAGGCATCAAGAAAATCGGCGGTTTTGTTGGCAAGTCCTCGGCCAACATCATTGCGAAGAACACCGGCAACTTTGCATGGGTCTTCTGGATCGCCGTCTTCATGAACGTCTTTACCAACATCCTCACCCTCGTCTTCTACCGCTTCAACACCATCGCCCACAAGAAGTTTGGCAACGTTACGGACCCGGCAACTGGTGAAAAGCTCACCGAGAAGTCCAAGAAGTTTGAAGTCAGGAAGGTACTTGAACTTCCGTGGGTTTTCTGGGCCATCCTGTCGTTCTCTCTTTTCCAGACCAGCACTGCCATTGTGTTCTCGCAGAACGCCACGGAATTGGCTGAGAAGAGATTCAAGACGGACTCCATCACTGCTGGTTGGTACTCAGCGACTCTGCAGTACGCTGGCTTCTTTTTGGTTCCCTGCATTGGCGCCTTCATTGATCTCCTAGGCAACCGTATCACGTTGTGTAAGTCAACCATTTCCTTTGCACGATTCTGCCGATTTCTGACCATTTTTAGTGGCTATCTGCGGTACCGGAGTCTTCCTAGCTATGGCGCTTATCAACTGGGCCACGGATACCAAAGGAACTGCTGCTGCCTTTGGCATTTACGCCGTTGCGTTCACTTTGGGCCCTACCACCATTATCGACAGTATCCGTACTTCTATGTGGCACTCATCTGTCTTTGGCTCCGCTTACGCTGTCAAGATTGCCACGAACAACGCGTAAGTTCTCGATCCATCTCAGCTGAGTGAATTTTTTGCTAACAAGCAGCAGGATGAACATTATCGTCCGTGTCATCACCGGAGCCATCCAAGATGCCGACAACGACAGCTACGACCATGTTGTCATCGTCTACGCCGTTCTCGCAGCTGCTTCCGTCTTGGTCTCAATCATGTTGGGTGTCCTGTCGTGGTGGTCCATAGATCTGGGTAATCTCCAATGGACTAGGAAGCAGCGTAGGGCTAATGGCGAGTTGTGGAATGAGAGAAAGAGGGCTTTCTACGAGGACAATGGAGCGCGCAACAAGCGTATCTCTATGATTTGTTTTGGGTCTTTGGTTATGTTGATTCTGGGAGCTTGGTCGGCGTACTTCTGGGGTGTTGCAACTGGCAACAACTCCTAAGAAGTACATGTACGAAGATAACGACTTTGAGACAAGAGCACATGAGGCACTTGTCAACGTCCGAGATACCCATGCACTCACGCAACAACGAGGTATCCAGACAGTAATGTAGGGACTTAATGAACAAATGGTACAATTCCAAATAAATCAACCGCTGCGATGCCTTGGAAGTGCATCTGTCTGCATCAACAATTGGTCAGGAACATGAGGGCGCGCGGAAGTTTCGCAAATCTTTAAAGCTCAGAAGGCTTGGTTCTGCCGATTGATTTGTGCGAACCGGACTGGACTTTGGATCCCAAGTTCCGAGGATGTTACGCCAACTTTTCTCACGTTCTGATTCATCGAGGTTCAACTGGGTAAATTACATTTATCGATATGAGATAGTCCCCGAAATTCAGCAAGTGCTAAACCCAATGTGCTGATTACGGCTTGATAACCGAGTCGGCTCCGATCTACACTGCAGATGCATCCATCGCCTCATTCGGGTCCACTCTGTCATCTCCCCTCACTGGATTTACCTTATCTCCAACTCAACTACCTTATTCAAAGTTCCATTTTCTCCAACATAGCTGCGAGCACAAAAGTTTTGGCTGAAGTCAAATCACGACAAAGTTGAAGCAGCAAAAGTCAAGTTCCAAAACTTGATCAACAACTTACCTTCTTTCGCCTTTTCGCTAAACATCATGCCAGGTTTGGCAGTCTCACCGGAGAACCTCCCGGTCCCTGGCCGGGACACGTACTATTGGCTCGGCGAAATCAATAAGGCCAGCGCCGTCATCAACTCTTCAGAAGGTCTCCTGGAACAAGATGTGGTCCGTCGCATCAGCCGTGGACTTCAGAAACTTTTAGACTCGGGCGACGAACCCGGCGCGCCGCGTCCTAGCCTTGTCATCACCTTCGAGCCTCTCTTTATTGAAGCAGCTGGTGTTGAAGCAACTCTCCTGCACGCCGGCCGTTCAAGCCAGGACATGCTCGCTACAGTCTGCACGGCAATTCTTCGCGATGCGGTCTTGAAGTTGACTGCACAGCTTCACGCGACAACAATTCGCCTTCTTGAGATGGCGGAGACTCATGCCTCAACACTGGTACCGAACTACACCAACGGGGTCGCCGCTCAACCTAATTCATACGGCCACTACTTGCTAGGTCACATTGCAGGTCTTCATCGCGACGCGGAGAGATTGCGGCAATTCTTTGCCAGATTGGACCGATGTCCGATGGGCACAACCGTGCTAAATGGCACAAGTTGGCCTCTCAACCGGGACCGCATGGCCAAATACCTGGGCTTTACGCAAGTCGTCGACAACGCCTACGATGCAGCACAAATTACCATGGCAGAGATGCCAGTTGAGCTTGGGGGCATTGCCTCTCAGATCGCTCTTCACACTGGCGCCTACATCCAGGACGTCATGAATCAATACGCGCAGCCGAAGCCATGGATTCTTCTCCAAGAGGGGGGTGAGAACACGTATGTCTCAAGTGCTATGCCACAGAAGAGAAATCCAGGTCTACTTAACAACACCCGATCCGATGCATCTTATATTGTTACTTTGGGGCTTGGTCGTGCCATACAGGGACACAACCTTCCTCCTGGCTACGGTGACGCAAAAGACCTAGGCCACAATCTGGATGTCATTAACGGCACGACAAAGGTTCTCGCACAATGGCAACGGATTCTCAACGCACTCATCATTGACGGGAAACGATCTCTGAAAGAGCTGGATCTTGACTGGACCGCCTCTCAAGAGTTGGCCGATTTCCTAATGCGGGAGTACAAAGTACCGTTTCGTGTCGGGCACCACTTTGCTTCAGAGACTGTCAGACACGCCAAGGCGGAAGATTTGTCCCCGAGCAACTTCCCCTATGCGGAGGCATCTAAAATATTCAAAGAGACTTTGAAGCACGCTGGCCTTGAAGAGGGATCATATCAGTTTCTGAGTGAGGCAGAGTTCCAAGAAGCGCTTGACCCGGCCGGAATCATCAAGCATAGAGCCACTTCGGGGGGTCCACAGCCCAAGGAGATGGAACGCATGATTGGTAACTCGAAGCAGACACTACAAGATCTTGAAAGTTGGATCAAAGAGCGGCAATCTCATATTGTGAGCTCTTTGCAGGAGCTGGATAAGGCGTTTCAAGATTTGCTTGCGTGAGGCTCTTGGGCCTGGCTCTGGTAGGTCAGGCCTTTACAAAGATCAAGAATCTAGGATTGCGATAGGCTCAACAGCGTTAATTCTCTACTTACTTGAATATGAAAATTCACTTGTCAATATCGGTCCGTGGGGGGGGGGGGGCACTAGACGTAAAGGATGTTAAGACGAGTGGCTTCTATATGCCTCCCATAGTAATGACCCCTTGTGTAGCTTCAATTCATTATTCTGAGAATTGAAAAGTTGCTACTCGAGGTCGAATGAGAGGCATCGCCCGCTCTAGTTTCGCAAAATCTATCCACATTTTACCGTAGACTCTCAACCTCGTGTTGTGGTTTCGCTTAGAATTAGTCTCGAGTCGTCATTGAAGAATCTTGCACCTCCATGTCACTGTCAGCACTAGTGATCCGGGATTATCGACCCACGCGGAGCGGATGCCGGACATGTCAAATCTACTGCGCGATAAGTGAGGTCTGATCCACTAAGATTCCCGGGGTAGTCTTCTCGGCCGCTGATAAGCAAATGATACAATCCTTGGCATCAAAGCTGGTAGAACTGCGTCACCGACAATCTGTTGACATTTGGGCTAGGCTGGTCTTTACACTCGTTATTCGCCCTAGAAGCTAGGCGAACGAATCCCACCCCTTGAGTCTAGTTACCCCAGTTGGGGAAAACGGAATGCAACGTGCCCCTTGCGCTGTGTTTGCGAGAATCAATGACATATATACCTAGCTCGGGTTCCCTCAACATCAGTAGGACTTTTAGAGAAAGCAACCACGGTGATCAGAATGCGTTTCTCAACTGCCTCCGCTGCTTCAATGCTAGTCGGCGCCGCCATGGCCACCGCAAAGACAACCACCTACTCATACGGGCCCAATGTCCGCCAGGTCTACGACGTCTACATCCCCTCGGCCGCGACCAACAAGACCGTAGCGACCGACAAGAACTGGCTGGTGTACATTCACGGAGGCTTCTATCGCAACTTCGCCCAGAACTCAACAGACATCCTGCCCGCCATCGCTTCCCTCGAGGCAAACAGCCCCGACTTGCTCGCAACTCAAATCGCCGGAATCGCATCCCTGGACTACCGACTTTCCGCACTTCCTGGCGCTCAACCTAACAACACGCCCACGAACGAGCTTCAGAACGCCAGATGGCCTGATCACCTCAACGACGCTGTCGCCGCGCTCAAGGACCTCAACAAGCATTATCCGATCGACGGCAACTACATTGTTTCCGGCCACTCCGTCGGCGCACAAATCGCCTTCTTCACGGCTTTGGAGACGCTAAAGGATCCCGCCGTGCCTAAGCCCGTGGCCGTCTTGGGAATCAGCGGCATTTACGACTTGCCTCTGCTCCACATCACTAACCCCGATTATGACTATCTCGTACTCAACGCCATGAGAGAAGACCAGCTGGTAGAGGCCAGTCCATCCAAGGTCGATGCCAAAAATTACGCAGCACTCGACCTGGAGGCCTTTATTTTGGCGCACAGCAGGAATGATGGGCTTGTGCCTTGGGACCAGGTCGAGTCGATAGAAGCGACCCTGGATTCTCTACCTGAAGTAGAGAGTAAGACACACCTGGTCGAGCTTGATGGTGCGCACAACGATATTTGGCGTGGGGGTGTGCAACTGGCCAAGGCTTTCACGGAAACTCTAGCTATATTGAGGGCGGGTGCATGAGGTCCTCCGCCAATAGCTTCCAATGAAAGATGACGGTTTGACCAGAAATGTTTCATACTATTATTGTTTCCATGGACACTTACATCTACCAACTCTGCCTTCATATCGGACGTTCTCCCACGGCGCTTCTCAGCCCACGGCCGTACGACGTCGGCTTCCTATCGGACGAACGCTCTCTTTTCAGCACGCAAGGCGTCTGCGGGTAGATACATGCAGGCAAACCCTGGCAGGAGCTTTAACAATGCATTTTCTTCCAATCGATTTTGACTTGCATCTTTGTGAAACATCTCACTTGCAGATCGGATGCTGAAGACACGCAGTAGCACAAGGCACGCCGGTCTCCACGCCTTGAAATCGTCCGACGGCATGGGATCGGCGGTGGTTCTCCGGCTGTTGGTGCAAGTTAACTCGAAAATAGGCTCAGTGCCGACCAACATGAAGATGGCAATTGGCTGTAGTTCCGACGGAGAAGCGAACGCAACCTTCGACGGACAGCACGGCGGTTACGTGAGACAGCGGCTACGGGTACACACTCCGGTTGGCCATTCCACCAATTGCCAACTTAACCCATACTACCTTACCATAGTTATGTGCTGCGTGCCTAAGGGCTGAGCTGCAGTGTCTCCACGTCGCAATGAGAACCGGGACTCAGAAAGGCTTTGCAACTGATCGAAACGTCGGCGATAGGCTTCAAGTCTCATTCGACTATCTCAACTCATATCTAAGTACTTCATCATCAGTCGTTTCGTTTCCTTCATCTCGCCTGTATCATCTCGCACGTAAACTCATCACCTCATCATTATCACATCGTTTTCTTTCTATTTTTCCCCTTTCCATTCGTACTATCCGACCGGCCCCCAGAGCCACATCATCATACCGTACGTGGATTTGATCTAATGGCTCAGCTAGATTACAACAACTACAAGGTGGCATGGATTGCCCCGCTCGAGATCGAAACTCTGGCAGCAAAGTACATGCTCGACGATGTCCACACGGGCAGATTCCCAGTACGAGAGGGTCATGACTACCCCTTGATCGCAGGTCGCATGTGCGGACACAACGTTGTCATCGCCAGCTTTGCCCTTGGGCAAGACTATGGTACAGAGCAAGCTGCCGGTCTCGCTGGCCAGTTGAAGCTTCTATTCCCCAAGCTTTGGTTTACGCTACTAGTTGGTGTCGCAGCAGGGCTTCCAAGCCCTCGACGAGACATCCGTCTTGGAGATGTTCTCGTTGCAAACTCCGAAGATGAAGTCCCTGCTATTGTGGCTTACCATCTCGGCAAAGAAACATCCGAGGGACTCAAGCTCCTCCATGGTGGACGAAGCCAACTTCCTACGAACCCCGTTGTGACATCTGCTTTCTCAAAGATCAGAATTCCAGATCCCAGATGTTATATCAATAGCTTCCTGGACCACTTTAAAGTCATGCAACACAAAGAGCACTTGAGTGGAGACTTCACGGATCCTGGTCAATCTCAAGACGAGCTGAACGAGACGACTTCGAGTGGAGAGAGAGTCGCCATTCTTCGGGATCCACGGCCAGACAACAGGCGTACCAAAGTGTGGTACGGTCCAATTGGCTCTGGTGACAAATTGATGAAGAATGCCAAGGAGAGAGATCTGTTGAGAGACAAATACAGTCTCATTGGTCTAGAGATGGAGGCAGCAGGAGTCATGAATCGTCTTAATGTCGGCGTCATCAGAGGGGTATGCGACTACGGGGACGAGCAGAAGAACAAGGAGTGGCAGCCTTACGCGGCTGCAATGGCTGCCGCATACGCCAAACAAGTGTTGCTTGAGATCAGCGTTGTCCCATCCGACACGGATCTTCATATTCGTAAGGAACCTCTAGCGCTACCAGCCCATGGAAGTGCGACTCATTGACTGGAATAGGAACGCCTGAGGAGGCCAGATACAACGAGCAGCCGGGATCTTTGAGCTCCATAACTCATGCCCGGATGCGAGATCCAGCTGTCAGAAAGCCCGGCTTACCGCCCAGTCCTGCTTCATCAGATATGGAGATGGACGCAGACCATCAAAGCGGTGGTGAGTTTTACACACCTTACATCATACATCCCATTCCTCGTAACAGATCCTCTTAATATTGACGCCAACTCGATTGCTAACACATGAAAATACACCCAGTAGGCACTCGCCTCCGAGCTTGGGCAACGGACATTGTGTGGCCAGAGATTCGCAATGAAAGGCCTGCTCTAGCATCGAAATTTGTGAAACGCAAGAATTTTCCAAGATGCCTTCGGACAAACAGTTCGTTGTGGGACGCTGAAGAGAGACAGTCCCCCATGAAGCTTCTTGTACATGGTGTGACTGGCGTTGGGAAGAGCCAAATCTGTCTGCAAGCAATTGCTGAAAATGAATCCAGGTACACTTCTTCCGTTCCATCGAGCATATTGGCTCATCTAACATTCACTGGTTTCAGATTCAGGGCGGTCTTCTATGTTGATGCCAGCAGTAGAAAGTCGGCAAACAGTAGCTACCTTGCCATAGCTGGAGTCAGCGGAACATTGATAGACACGTCGGGCAGCAGCTCCGATGAGAACATCTCTCAACAGATTTCACGCACGAGATTCTGGATGAGCAACCTCGAAGAACCATGGACTCTCTTCATCGACAATGCCGAACCCTCGGTGGCTGCCAATCTGGATGACTATCTTCCTCGTCAAGGCTGTGGCGTCATCATTATTACGACTATCGACGGACAGGTCGCTTCGTCCTGCGATATTCACGAAAACATCGCCCCTATGGAATCATGGGATGCCAACGAGCTAATCCACAACTTTGTGGATGCCACAAAGGACTTCAGTGAAGACGAGTGGGAGGCGATCGAATCCTTGGCCTCTGAAACGCTTGGGGGGCTGCCGCTCGCTATCGCGCAGGCTGGTTCTTACATTGCCAACAATCCAAACAGCCTTGTGGACTACTGCTTCGACTTCCAGCAAGCATTTCAAACAAACCTCGGAGACCTCCCTGACTTGCCATCGGGGAGCGGCCAGAGCAAATCCGCCTCCCACGCGTTGGGCATCACTATGGCCCTTGTCGAGAACTCGCCGGAAACCATCGAGCTTCTTCGTACGCTTTGCTTTTTTCACAATGAGAGTATCGCAGAACAAATTTTTGAAGAAGCTTGGAACAACTTAACGATAGGTTCTCCAGGGGAGTCTTCCCAGTGGGCACATTGGGCACCTCTTGTGCCGCTTTTGGATCCCACAAGTGCTCAGTGGCGCACACCGGGTCTCCGCAAGGCGTTCAATACCCTATGTCGTTATAGTTTGCTCGTCTGCGATGCGTCGTACTCCAGCAAGTACTCGATGAACAAGCTTGTACAGACGTATTGCAGGGAGTCGCTCTCGACAGAGGATCGAAACAAGTATGCCTATCAAGCAGCTTGTCTATCAGCACTTGCCTTGGCCAATGAGCCAGTTTCTACGACTGCATCACGGATGGACAACCCTTTAGGTGTCGATCTTCAGAAAGCCATGATACCACATATTGAATCGTTTACTTCAAATGGCTTGATGGGCAACTGGGTGGAACTCGCTGAGACTGAGAGACGGCTAGAGATCATGCTCATACTGGCAAACACATATTCGTCAACAGGTCATTTCAGAGACTCGAGAGATATCCTGCAAGAAACCATCGAAATCTGCAAGAATCCCTCAGTTCCTGGTTCACTGAATTTGCAAGTTAATGAACAGGTCGCCGACTGCTACTTTCACACCAGCCATCACGTAGAAGCACTGAGGTATCAACCAGGGGTTATACAAGCCTACCAACAGTGGGGAGCAGGCTTCGATTATCTCTGGTCTGCTCAAATCAACCATGCGGACTCTCTATGGGCAACTGGGCAGCGGAGTGAGGCGTTGGCAATGGCGGAAGCGGCCCTTGTTACGTGTGGCTCACATGACTTGCCCGCCGATGATCCCAAGATGGTGCGAACACGGCTTTTGGTGGCAGACTTCCTCCACGGATCCGGAGGTCAACGTCGGGCTCTGGAACTGCGACAAGAAACCGTTTGGGATCTGCAGGGAAGAGTTTCTGTCATCGCAGGAGAGCGTCTGCGCAATCTTCAAGCCAAAAGTGCGCTGGGTGACAGTTATGATTGGGACGGCCAGCTTCTCAAGTCTTTGTCATTGCGAAAGAAGGTCCACAAAGCAAGGCTTGAGCTTCTCGGCGTCGATCACCCCGACACCTTGCATGCATTCAACCGACTGGTCGACACTAGAAGCCTGCTCGCCCACACTCAAGAAGAAAAGGAAGAGGTTTGCAGGCTCAGAGAAGAGGCCGTGGCCTCGTGGAGGCGAGTTCGTGGTGAAGTTCATCCTCAAACTAACGAAGCAAGAGTCAACTTGGGTCATAGCTACACTGCAGCTTCTAGGTTTGAGGAAGCTCTCCTCGAACAGCAAGACGTCCTGGCCATACGCAACGAAAAGGTGTTCAATGACGCGGTTGCGACTGACGTCTATCTTGTATCCGTCGCTAACGTCGCGGACGCATTGTGGAGAGTAGGCGATATTCAAGAAGCTTACAGTCGTCTGGAAGATGGACTGGAAGAGGCCAAAGTCATGGAAGACTTGGATGCCATATTCTCGATCAGAAGTTACGCAGCAACCTGCCTCTCACGCCAAGGCAGAGAGGATTCCATACTGAAGGCTATCAATCTACGGCAAGATCTTCTCAGGGATCAGGAAAGTGCATTTGGTGAGGGAGATGTCAGAACCCACCAGACGCAGCTCCTGTTGGCCATGGATCTCGCCAAGCTAGGCATGTTCCCTCAGGCAATCCAAGTCCATGAGAAATTGCTGCGAAGACAAGGCGAGGACCCGGGCGAAGAGAGCCAAGAAACCCTGGACAACAAGAAGGGGCTTGCTTCAGTGTTAAGTGCTGTTAACGCCGCACCTCAAGCGGCTGTATTGATGGAGGAGGTCTTGCGGGTTGAGACCAGACACCTCGGTCGAGACCACCCTCGGACACGGGAGACAGGAGCCCTTCTTCATCGCTATTACCAAGAGGCTGGAGATGCCCAGGCGGCTTTTCAAGTTATGACCTGGCTGAACGCCCAGCCAATCGGCACCGGAGAGCACCACGGAGACTCGGATTCCGATGACGAGGAAGTAAGCAATGTGCCTCGAGTCGGGAGCAAACACAGGGTAAGTCTTCATTGCGATCCAACGGACGATTGAGGCAGACCTTTAACGTTCAATGTTCAGGACTTGACACCAGTGACAAGCCCTGCGAGACCACCACCACGCCAGATACAGCGCTGATCATGCGGAAGGTGGTTTGGTGACTCGGACTCGAGGGTTCGTGTAGCACATGCCAGTCTCAGAGGACGGACGACACTCACTGAGAGTCGTTCAATCACTGCGACCGAAGAGAGCGTGGCAAGGCATGGGCGTGTGTCCTTCGTCGGGGGGGAGAGTTCAGGTGGTAAGCTTATTCAAGTACTTGCGCGTGTGTTCCAGTTCAGTTATCATTTCAATTCCATTTCCAATCAACGTTCCGTGAGCGGTCTTCGCTCGTGCTCAGTATCAAGCAAATGACCATGACAGACATGAATGCGACATCATGTTGGCCTCAGTGTGGCGTGAACTGCCCTCCACTCGCTTGGCGATGCTGCGGCTTACCTACTTAGCTAGGTAGAAGCGGGACGTGGGCGTGGATGATTTCGCTCATCCTGAGTTCGTCGAAAGGGACATAGTAACATTTCAAGAACAATTTATATCACCGTAGCCCCTTTCCTACCCTCGGCCAAATTCTCGGCTTCCAACTCAACATCCTGAGACCCTCTGATCCTCGACGGGAAAGGAGTATGGAGTGATGGCGTCAAATGTAGAACTTAATAAAAAGGCGACGTACAGACCGAACAGCAACTTGATATCAATGCCACAGTATTCTATCATGCAGCCTTCACAACAGCGGTAGCCCGTTGTGCTCGTGAGATACTAGCACCCTCACCCTCACGCGTCAAACTCACTGCTCGGCCCCAGTCGCCTCCCTCTTTTCCTTCTCGAGAAACCACTCAACAGTCCTCCTGATCCCCTCCTCCTGACTAACCTCCGGCCTCCACCCCAACCTTTCCTTAGCCTTATCAATAACATACCATCTACTCATCCCCGAAAACCGAACAACCTGCCTCGTCAAAGGCGGCACCTCCCCCTTGAACCAATAAATCCACTCCAAAGCCCACACATACGCCAGCGCAAACGTCATGTTAATAACCCTCACATCCTCAATCCTCGTCTCGTCCCCGGCAGCCCGCCACACGGCCCTGCTGAAATCCCAAAAGGGCACGGGCTCGCCGTTGGTGATGAAGAAGGCTTCGCCCGCGACGCCGTCTGGCGCGTTGAGGAGCTTCGAGGCTGCCGCGAGGTGCGCGTCCGCGGCGTTGCCTGCGTAGGTTGTGCTGAAGAGGTTCTTGTTGGTGCCGATTTGCATCTTGTTCCGGCCGAGGCGGAGGTTGCGGAGGATGGCGGGGGTGATGTCGTTGTCGCGTTCGCCGTGGACGGCGGCGGGGCGGAGGGTGCAGGTTCGCATGCCGGATGGGTGATCATATTCTAGAGTCATCTTGTCGGAAGCCGCCTGCGATTCTCGTCAGTGAGAGTCTACTTGAGAAGGTCTCCGTGCTTCTATGATAACCAGCCTGTAGAGGACGCCACGAGCACTCACCTTCGTCTTGGGATAAGCCAACGTATCATCCCCCTCCTCAGCAATAGGCAAACTCTCATCGCCCCCCTCAATATCCCTAAACATCTCCTTCTGCACCACGCTAGCACTACTCGTCGTCACAAACGCCTTCACTCCCGCCCTCTTAGCCTCATCCAGCACATGCCTCGTCCCATCGACATTAATCGCCCTCACAAACGCATCCGTCATGACTTTCCTTCCCACCGTCATCATCCCCGCGCAGTGAAACACCACCGTCGGCTTCACCTCCCGAAAGACTTTGGCAACGTCGTCGAGGGAGGCAATGTCGCCGGCGTGGTACGTGACGCCGGGAAAGGTGTTTGTCGTCGGGTTGCGTGAGAAGACGGCGACGCGGGCGGTCGGGTAGGCGGCTAGGAGCTTCTCGACGATGTGGCTGCCCAGGAAGCCGCAGCCGCCTGTTATGAGGTAGGTTTCTGAGGCCATTTGGGTCCTATCTTGTGTCTGATACCTGAGATTCAATGGCGGCAAGGATCAAATAGTTTCAGATGATGAGAGTGAGAGTGAGAATCTCAAAGACGGTGAAATTTCACAGGACCCAAAAGTCTGGGCGCCGTCCAGGCTTTATCTCATCAACTCGCGTCCCGATAGATCGTCGTCGAGAATAAGCCGGCTGAAACGGTCTGGAGAAATGAGTGTCGTCAGCGAAATCCATCAAATCTGATATAAGCACTTGGGTCTTCTCATTCCCTGCCAGGATGTGGAAACCTTGAACCTGGGAACCCAACGTGTCTCCTGCAACGCGCATTCGGATCTTACCCGGTCGAACCCCAATAGTCGATTCGCACTGAAGGGCCAATGGGTCAAAGTCCCCCGTATAATGGTGTAGCCGTGTCAATTGCAAAGACAAAAGGTCAAATCCATGAGCTACTGAGAGGTGGCCGAACTCCTTTGTACCTTTGACAGCTAGCCAAACTCTACCAAGCCGTCAGCGCTAGATCCAATGTCCCTTGAAGAAGCGGTCCCAGACTTGCCGAAAAGGTGGGGAGGTGAGGGGGAACGCCGCAAGCTTAGGTCACTCACTCACTCACTTGCCTAGAACCTAGGTACTTGAAGCTTGCTCTTATCTTTCATGACACCTTGTAAACCTTCCGTCTCCCGATATCAGTACTTCATATGGGGCCAACGGCCCGAAGATGCGAGAACGAGCAAGTGTTGGCATGAGCTTAGGGCGTGTGAGAAAGGCGCAAGGCCATGAGGTTTAGGCGACTTTAAGTAAGAACACAAGGCCACCACCACAGCTGAGAAGATGAGATGAAGTCGAGACATCATACCCGAACAGTTTAAAAAGCAGGTGATTCGGCCAGGGATGAGTTAGTCAGTGAGTAAGTGGGTGAGTGATTACCTTATTCGGTGATAAGCATCAATGCCATCCGTCCTATGGCCTTCATCAACAGAGAAACGGTTCAAACGGTTCAAGATGCAACGCGAATAAATCTGTATAGTCGACGTGGCAGAAGCGGCAAGACGTCCCTAGCCATTCGGCCAGATCCGATTGGAAATATATGCAACATGAGCCCTCGCCAAGGCCTCACTCAGCAATCTCACCTCACCTCCTCTTGAAGATTCATCAACAGCGCGACAATCGCACCAGGGGCGAGTGCGCAGTTCACCACTTCACGTTGAACACCAAGAGGCATAATTGTTTGAACGCAAGAGAAAACGCAGCTGGTTGGTGATATGTGCCACAACCCGCCCATCTACAAAAGCCTCACCCGTCCCCCCAATTCCACCCCGCAGTATCCACAGCCCCCTGACGATGCATTTCCGACGATGAAGAACCGCCCCAAAGCCCTCCTCCCACCATGTTTCCTTCCGTTTCTCTTAGGTTGTTTTGTGTTTGCTGTCATCTCATGAACTTTCGCCTCCCTCGCCAAAAGACCATCCCCCCGCCAGTTCCTCCGATTCGCGAAAAGCATCGCAATCCTAAACTCCGGCAAAAGAATTTCCCTGAACATAAACGCGCGACTGCCTTTCAAGACTAAACTACTGGAAACAAGTCGTCAAGACGCCCCCGTCTACCGGCCTTGCCCGCTTCCTGATCCAAAATCCGGTTCCGGGTGCGGCGACTTCTTATCCTTTCTAGCTTTGATGACAAACTCGGCCATAATCTGGATGTGGTCGGCCGGGAAGTGGTAGTTGGGGAACGCCGGCATCCGCTTGAGGTATTCGGCATCGGGCGGGCCAAGCAGATCCACCACTTCCAATGTGTTGGTTGAGTACCACAGATAATCAATGACATCTGAGAACCCAGGCGTGTAGTTGGTGAAGGGCATCTCGTCGGGAGTGTTCTTGATATGGGCATATGCATCCCGCAAGCTGAAGGGGTGCTCAATACCGTCCCTCGTGAAGCTACCATACTGGAAGGATGATAGCTCTTGGTGGTTGGGAGGAACGCGTCCCATAGACAACAGCTCGTAGACAGAGCTGTCTCCGGTAGAGTTGAAATCACCGCACACGAGGAGGGGAATGTCGGTGTTGTTGCGGTACTCTTGGCTGGGCCCCGGTTCCTTAGCCGGCGGCGGCGTTGGCTCCTCTCCATCTTTGCTAGTAGCAGAGAAGACGATGGGCTTCTTGTCCTTGAGCGCCGGCCAGCGAACGTACTTCTCGGCGAACTTTGTAACTTGCTCCATCAAGATACCCGTCTGGATCAACTTGACATCCGCCAGCACAGACTCCCAAGCCAAATGTCCGTTGACTAAGATAATGCGTGCGCCGGTAGCTCGGCTTTCGAGGAATACCACAACGGCGATGTTGTCCTTTGGCATAACACGGTTGAAGACGTCGTGTTGGTTCTTCATGTCAGGCCGGTTGATGGCGATGGCGGCGAATTCGATGACCTGCTTGTCGAGCAAAATCCACTTGCTGGCCTTGTAGAAAGTAGCGCAACCATCCACGCCCTGTGCATCCTTCTCCGCCATGGTCTTCGCGCGAGTCTTGGGCCAGTGCACACCCTTGTAATCCATCTGTGCCAGTTCCGGGCTGAACTCTTCCTTGAACGCCTCTGTCGAGATCTCCTGCAGGCACAGCAGATCCGCGTCCTTCTCTCTCAATTCGCTGAAGATGCAGTCCTTCCGGTATTCCCAGTTTAATGCGCCCGTGGGCGTGTATCCGTACGTTTGCGGTGTTGCGTACTTGTCGCACAAGACGTTCCAAGAAAACACTCTAACCTTTTCCAAAGTAGGCGAAACATCTTCTTGTACAGTGATGAGTTTTCTCGGGTTGGGTGGCATCGGAACTAAAACAAAGGTTAGCAATCGTTGACAACACAAGACATGAACGAATGTACATACTCGGGGCTTGCTCCTTGAGA